GAGAGGCTCCATACCACTCACGTTTGTAGACTGGAGGCAGAATTATGAGTAGAAAATCTTCATTTCTCTTTTTTCCCTGAAATCACTAGTTCTCAGGATCCATGGAGGAGTCTTCTGAAGGCCTACCTCTTGCCTCTTCACTCGAGTTTGTGGGCTGGAGGCTAAATTATCAGTAGAAAAAAACAGCACTAACTTCAAAAGGGCAAAATAGGGGGCCAACAGGTAGTGTGGTGGTTAATGGTGATGGACTCCCGTATGGACCCAGTGGCATGAAAAACACGCCCAGTGTGTGTGCACGCGTGCCCAAGATCCTGGGAGGACAATGGATGAAAAGGGATTGCAGTGTGGCTATCCTCCCTGAGGGGGTGATTTCTCACTTTCCCTCTCACTGTTTCTGTCTCTCTCTCTCTGTCTGTCCTAAAGCAAAAACCTCTACCAAAGATAATAATAATAATTGCATATTAGAATATAAAATTATAATAAATGCTAAGACCACTAATACTAAACTATTTTTTCATACATGAGAAATTTTTAAAACTTCCAGTCCCTGGCAAGTTGGATTCCAATAAATCATTGTAAATATACATAGTTAACAGAAACACTATTTTCCCACCTAAGCCATCAGAAGACTATTTGGCCTGAGACCATTTAAAAGGTCTTCATTTGGGGCCAGTAGGAGGCATAGTGGATAAGGTGCTGGATTCCCACATGGCCAACCGTGGTTCAAGTCCTGGACGAAGCAGCTTGAAACTCATGCTGGATGCGTGTGCATGCATGCGCAAAATCATGAGTGGAGAATGGAGAAGAAATGGTGGAGACATGGCCATCCCCACTGGGGGGTGATTTGTCACTTTTTCTCTCTCGTCTCTCTGCGGAGCACATATGCCCCATAGCAAAAAAATTTCTCTAAAAACAAGCAAAAAAAGCCTTCATTTAGCCTATGCCCCCCAATGAAACAATTCCAAACTTACTTTCCATTGTTTATGTTTATGTCTCTGATCTTCACCCTGATTTTAGAGCTAGTGAGCCCCATCTGTGCCAGCAGTTGAGGACGGTCCATTCCTGCCTCTCTGGACACAACACCAATTAGACTTGAGGGACTGGGAGTCCCTGAGGCTGAACAGTGAGTATTAAGCCCTCGGTAAGTATCAGTTGGCTTCACTTGAAGGTACACCCTCCTCTCTGTGACAGCACACCCTTAATGACGTGTACAAAGTCAGCTTTTCATGGTGGAAATCCTCGAGGATCTGGTGAGGAGAGCCCAGTCTGTCCACATCACCCCAGCGCCTGAGACGATGTCCACCACACACCTTCACGTGCCACACAACGTCCCTCATGCCCTGTGTTCACAGGCAGTCGGGTCACATGACGATTCCACTCGGGATCTGGGTGAGAGGTTGCTGAGTAAGACCCCTGTGAGGACTAAGGACTCAGAAAGCCAGCGCGTTTACCTGTGGACAGAGCTCCTCCAGTAGGCAACACTTGGAACAGTGTGAGTGCCGTCCGCTACATAGTCACAGCGAGGGGAACCAGCAGTTAGCGTAATGGCTACGTCGCTGGACTCCCACGTAGTGGACCGCGGTTTGCATCCTGGACACGGTGGCTTAAAACTCACGCCGGGTGCATGTGCGTGCGTGCCCAAGATCCCGAGAAGAGAATGGAGGAGAAGGGGTTGCGGTGTGACCATACCCTAGAGCAAATCTCTCCAAAAAAAAAAAATAAATAATAATAATGTCACGGCAACACACGTAGATGGGCCATAGTTTTCTCCTATGTGCCTCAGTCAGTGGCAGAACTCAGGTTCAAATAGTTACTTTTTTTTTGGGGGGGGGGGGAGTTTTTGGTATAGGGCGCATGCACTCCCCAGACAGACAGAGAAAGACAGAGAGACACAAAGCGAGAAATCCCCCCCCAGGGGGGATGCCACACCGCAATCCCTTCTCCTCCGTTCTCCTCTGTTCTCCTCTCGGGATCTTGGGCGTGCACACACATGTGCCCGGCGTCAGTTTTAAGCCATCAGGTCCGGACACAAAATTTGGTCGACTACATGGGAGTCCAGCGACATAGCCATTACACTAACTGCTGGTCCCCAAATAGTTACTTTTGAAAAGCTGTTTCTGAGAAAATTTGGAAATGACTTTCTCCAAAACACTATTTCACCCACTATATCCAGTTAGTCTGATAAATTGCCCACTTTTGAATCATGGTCAGTCTGTATTATTTCCTCATAATATTCAAGAAAGACATTTGAAATGGCAAAACAGAAAGCACAGCTTTTACACTCTGTCTACCTGAGCAGGTCGAAATACAAAGAGAGGAGGAGGTACCTATCGGACAATTTATTGCTGTGTTTCAACTAACGCTTAGTTTTTGACTACTGAGGTACGGTTGACACATGAAAAGTTTAGAATGGCTGACGAGTATAACCTGTGAGTCTGAAAGTAAGAACATACGAGGGGACCTTTAGCACTGTCTGTGCCATGACCTATCAGCACGGCCGAGCTTCCTCTGCCCTCTGTGTTTACCGCTGTCCTGTGTGATGAGAACTCTGGACACACAGCCACCCTGCTAGCACAACTAGGTAGAAACTATAGGTGATATTTTTGTGTCAGGTGATAAGAAATTATCTTTTTATATCAGTGATTGTAAACTCTGGCAAATGACTATTGAGAATGTGTTCAGTTGCAAAGTTCTGGAGTTCTGAGATGCTTGTTTGTATATAGAGAAACCATATCTGTATTGCACTGCTAAATAACTCAGCACATTAGACCTTCAAACAGAGGCAGTTTTAAAGTATTTTTCAGCAAATTGAATAGTCCATTATTTGTTAGTACATAGACAAAGCTAGTCTTTTCCCATTTATCACACCATTAATATAACTTCACAAAATATCAGCCTAGGTTCTTTTTTTTTAAAGAATTATTTATTTAGTTCATTCCATTTTTTATTAGACTTGAACCACAGTTGGCCATGTGGGAATCCAACGCCTTTAACCACCGCACCACCTACTGGCCCCAGCCTAGGTTTTTAATTTTGAAAATGCTAACTAATAGCTTTAAGTAATGTTTTATTATCATTTCTTAAAAATAGGATCTCTTTTGGGAACCAGCAGTTACCGTAAAAGCTATGTCGCTGGACTCCCACGTAGTCGACCACGGTTCGTGTCCTGGACCCGGTGGCTTAAAACTCACGCCGGGCGCATGTGTGTGCGTGCCCAAGATCCCAAGAGGAGAATGGAGGAGAAGGGATTGCGGTGTGACCATCCCCCCTGGGGGGTGATTTCTCGCTTTCTGTCTCTATGTCTCTCTCTGTCTGTCTGGAGAGCGCATGCGCCCTATAGCAAAAATCTCTCCAAAAAAAAAAAAAACCATAGAATCTCTTTTATTCAAATAACTATTTATTCTATTTTATTTATTATTTGTTTAAATTTGCTATAGGGTACATGTGCTCACCAGAGAGAGGGGGGCAGGGAGAGAGCAAGCTGCCGGGTCCAGGACACAAACCTGGTCTGTCATGTGGAGCCCAATGCCTTCACCACCACACCACCTGCTTGCTCTGAAATAGGGTCTCTTTATGTTACCCAGACAGACCTTAAACTCTTCATCCTCCTTCTTCAACCGTCTGGGTAGCAGGGAGTACAGCCAGGCACCACTATACCAAGGTTAAGTGGTTTTTTATTATTGTTCATCATGTGATTTAACCTTTCATCTATTCATAAATAACACACACACACACACCCTGGGCAGGCTTTGTGTGTTATGGGCAGAAGGAGGAGCAATGGCATCACTTCTGCTCTGTAATGCTATAGAAAAATTTTGGGGAGAAAGTGTTAAATATTTATCAACTGGTGCGTGGTTGTAACTTTTCTTGTAACAGTCCTGGTAACAGAGTGTTGAGACCTCCCAAGTCCTAAGCACTGTTATAAGCACCTTGTGTTTATTGCTTATTTAACTTTGATCCTTCCCCTTGCTTGTGCATGTGATTCTTTAGAAAAAAGCTCCTAAATAAAATTTGAAACTCATTATTTCTAGAGAAATGGCCAGCTCAGGTGGTAAATACGGTACTGAGGATGAGAACATCAAAGGGCCATGCCCAGTGCCAGACACTAACAAGGAGCTCCAAGGGGCTGGCCACTGAGCTATGGAAAGGAAGAACCCCTGTGTCTTTGTTCTTTTTTTGTTAAATTTTATTTTTCAATTGATAAATAATAATGCATGTAATTATGGGATACCAAGTGATGTTTTGCTATGTGTTTATAATGTGAAATCAGGTTAATTTAAAAATTCATCTTACTTATTTTTGACCATGAAAACATTTAAAATCTACTCTTTTAGCAATTTCAAAACATACAGTGCATTGTTTATTCTAGTCACCATTCTGTGAACAGGTCACCAAGACTGAGCCCTCCCAGTTGAAACTCAGCCTTTTGACCAGCACCTCTGTTCCTAGTCACTCCCTCCCCTGCTGCTTGCAGCCGCCATCCCACTGTTCACTTCTGAGGCTAACGTTTTTGACCCACACTTGAGTGAGACCATGTCTTCCTGGGCTTGGCCATGCAAGTTCATCCACATAACATCTTTTCGTCATTTCGACATTAGCCAGACAGTTAGATTTTGAGTGAATCTGTTGACCAAGTAAAAGAATATGTTCACTATGTCGAGCTGACTACCTTCATGATGGATCATGGGGCCACGTCATTTTAGAACCAGGTGTATTCCAAACCACAAAATCTATAGTGAGAAAATTTAGACCTCGAGTATAAAAGTGAAGTCCCCAGAGTCAACTGGGGAAAAAAAATCAAATAGTGAACTCATTGCTATAAAAGAAAATACAACAAATACCAGATTGTTTTAGTGTCATTATTTCTTTTTTATTCATTTTTTCAACTATTAATATAAATTCTCTCCCTTTGTTTGCTTTCGTGTTTCATGAAATGATTGAGCCAGTCTGTGCAGACAAATTGTTCCTTCCTCCTCCTCGCAGGGTGCAGCGCTGAGGTTATGGGCCCGAGCAATCGCAGCTCCTGGCACGGTTTCATTCTACGCGGCTTCTCTGAACATCCCAAGCTGGAGGTGACCCTGTCAGGAGTTGTAGCCATCTTCTACCTAATCACGCTGGTGGGTAACACGGCCATCATTCTGGCCTCTCTCCTGGACTCCCGTCTCCACACACCCATGTACTTCTTCCTCAGGAATCTGTCTTTCCTAGATCTGTGTTTCACGACCAGCATCGTCCCTCAGATGCTGGTGAACCTGTGGGGACCCGACAAGACCATCAGCTACGAGGGCTGTGTCGTCCAGCTCTATGTGTACATGTGGCTGGGCTCCGTCGAGTGCCTCCTCCTGGCCGTCATGTCCTACGACCGGTTCACGGCGATCTGCAAACCCCTGCATTACTCGGTGACCATGCGCCCACCCATCTGCCTTGGGATGGTGGCTGTGGTCTGGGGTGGGAGTCTGGCCAACGCTGTCGTGCTGTGTACACTGACCCTCCGTCTGCCCCGATGTGGGAACAACCTGCTGGATCACTTCTTGTGTGAGTTGCCAGGGCCACGTCATTTTAGAACCAGGTGTATTCCAAACCACAAAATCTATAGTGAGAAAATTTAGACCTCGAGTATAAAAGTGAAGTCCCCAGAGTCAACTGGGGAAAAAAAATCAAATAGTGAACTCATTGCTATAAAAGAAAATACAACAAATACCAGATTGTTTTAGTGTCATTATTTCTTTTTTATTCATTTTTTCAACTATTAATATAAATTCTCTCCCTTTGTTTGCTTTCGTGTTTCATGAAATGATTGAGCCAGTCTGTGCAGACAAATTGTTCCTTCCTCCTCCTCGCAGGGTGCAGCGCTGAGGTTATGGGCCCGAGCAATCGCAGCTCCTGGCACGGTTTCATTCTACGCGGCTTCTCTGAACATCCCAAGCTGGAGGTGACCCTGTCAGGAGTTGTAGCCATCTTCTACCTAATCACGCTGGTGGGTAACACGGCCATCATTCTGGCTTCTCTCCTGGACTCCCGTCTCCACACACCCATGTACTTCTTCCTCAGGAATCTGTCTTTCCTAGATCTGTGTTTCACGACCAGCATCGTCCCTCAGATGCTGGTGAACCTGTGGGGACCCGACAAGACCATCAGCTACGAGGGCTGTGTCGTCCAGCTCTATGTGTACATGTGGCTGGGCTCCGTCGAGTGCCTCCTCCTGGCCGTCATGTCCTACGACCGGTTCACGGCGATCTGCAAACCCCTGCATTACTCGGTGACCATGCGCCCACCCATCTGCCTTGGGATGGTGGCTGTGGTCTGGGGTGGGAGTCTGGCCAACGCTGTCGTGCTGTGTACACTGACCCTCCGTCTGCCCCGATGTGGGAACAACCTGCTGGATCACTTCTTGTGTGAGTTGCCAGCTATGGTGAAGATAGCGTGTGTGGACACCACGACCGTGGAAATGTCGGTGTTTGCTTTAGGTATCGTCATTGTCCTTACTCCCCTCACCCTTATCCTGATCTCCTATGGCCACATCGCCAGAGCTGTGCTGAGAATGAGGTCAAAGACAGGCCAGCGGAAGGCGATGAACACCTGTGGGTCACACCTGACTGTGGTGTCCATCTTCTACGGAACGATTATCTACATGTACCTACAGCCAGGACACAGTGTCTCCAAAGACCAGGGCAAGTTCCTCACCCTCTTTTACACTATCATCACTCCAAGTCTCAACCCCCTCATTTACACCTTAAGGAACAAGGACATGAAGAATGCGCTGAAGAAGCTGCTGACAGCTGCTTACCATGGACCCAAGGAAAGGAAGAGGAGCTGGGAATCATAGAAAAATACCAGCGGGGATAAGGCAATTACTTTTTTTTGAGAGAGAGAGAGCAATTTTTGCTGTAGGGCACGTGTGTTCACTGGAGAGACAGAGAGACAGAAAGCGTGAAATCACCCCCTAGAGGATGGCCACACTGTAATCTTTTCTCATCAATTCCCCTCCCAGGATCCTGGGCATGCACACACATGCGCCCAGTTTGAGTTTCAAGCCACCAGGTCAAGGATTTGCACTGCAGTCAACTATGTGGGAGTCCAACACCTGAACTACTCCGCCACCTGCTGGTACCAATTAAATACATTTTCTAATTGTGCTTACCCAGACAAGTCATCCATAGATCATAGAAATCAATTATTATAGAAATTATTTCAAAATAATTATTTTTTAGTTATCATTATTATTGTTTTTTAATTTGCTAGAGGGCATGCACACTCACCAAAGAGAAACAGAGAGAGAGAACAACCCCCCTGCTGGCCCCACTGCAGTAGTTCTTACATACAGTTACATAAAGTTTGTGAATGCAAATATTTTATATAGCAACATCTTGCTTGGATTTGGAGTTTGTAAAAATTTGCAGCACAGCATGTGCACTCAGTAGAGAGAGAGAAAGAAATCGCCCCCCAGTGGAGAGCCACACTGCTGTCCCTTCTCCTCTATTTTCCTCTTGGTGTTTTGGGCATGTGCCCAGACCCACCATGTTTTTCAAGCCACTAGGTCCAGTACTTGAACTGCAGACTCAGCCATGTGGGATCCAGCTTTCTCAATCACCACATCACCGGCAGGGCCTGCTCTTTTTTTGTCTAATTGTTGGCATGTCTTCAAGGAAAACAGGTTATTGGAAATTTCTACTTTTGCTTAAGATATATGGGGGGGGGGTGTAAACATAAGCTTGAATGCATTAATTTAGTCTAAAGCCCTATAGAAACTGGTTTGGTTATCCTGTTCTGTATTTTTAATGTGACTCTTAGATGTTCCAAAACTGCAACATGAATGATTTCATGTACATTCTGGTTTGTATAGTAAATAATATGAAGCCAGTGGGTGGCATGGTGATTAAGGCCCTGGATCACACCTGGCTGACTCTACGGTTTAAGTACCAGACCTGGTGACTTGAGAAGGCAGGCTGGGTGAGTGTGCATGTGCACAAAGTCTGAAAGGAAAGCGAAGGAGAAGGGATTTCTGCGTGGCCATTTCCTCGGTGGGATTTCTCACTTTCCCTCTCTCTGTCTTTCTCCGGCAAGTGTACACGCCCTATGGCAAAAACCTAATATCTATATACATATACATGAAATAAGGACTTTGTACATTAAATCTTTTCTGATGCTATCCAAACATTTGTGTGCATTTGATACAGACAACCCAGTCTGAAAGACAGTAATTGTCATAAGTCCCATCTATAACAATTCACCCTTCACTCCTGGAAACTCCATGTCGATATCTTGAGGAAAGGATCTCTTCTCTTTATCACGACACAGGAGAGTGAGGGCACTAAGGGAGGATTAGAAAGGTGCCAACAGTCTTACTCATTTCTTGTTCTTTAACCGCTCGGTCTGTGTCGCCTACTTCTGGATGGAAGGGGTGGACGAGTTCATTCGGGCGTTGGCCTGAGATCTATAGAGTCATAGCATCTCTGTGAGCTGTGGGGTCTGCAATGCCCGTACACAGTGGGATAGGGAGAAGGGATAAAACTTTAGTTTCCATTTATCTGATATAATTGTAAGCTTTTATGTGATTCTTCGATTAAACTGGATATTTCATGTAATCTGACACCTGTCTCTATTATCTCTCCATTATTTAGTCATTGTAATCAATCTAGATAGGCTGAGAACACTACATGGCTATAACCTAAAAGTATATAGTATTTTATCCTTTATCACTTCATAATTTACTTATTTATTTATTTTGGAGAGGTTTTTGCAATAGGGTGCAAGCGCTCGCCAGAAAGACAGAGAGAGACAGAGAGACAGAAAGTGAGAAATCATGAGGGAAGCTATGCTCTAGGCTCCATTTCCTAGACACCCAAAATACTGAGACATGGTAGGGTGACCTCTGTCTTTTCTCTGTCTCTGGTTGTCTGTCTCTCTGTCTCACACTCTCTCTCTCTTTTTAAATTTTTTTTTTAAACTTTTCAACCACTTCTCCTCACCTTGGGCCTTTTCTTTCACTTGCTAATTACAGAAGCCATTTTAAAGCTGAGGTGTGTCCTGGCGTGTCTGCTCAGCACTCTGTTTTCATTTTTTACGTGTAAAGAAAGAAATTTTTTCCCTTTTTTCGTAATATTTTTCTAGTGGTTTTTTTTTTTCCTTTTTGCTAATTTTTTTTTTGTCCTTACCTTCCCATTCCAAACTTCACTCTCCACACACTGAATGTCTAGACTGGCCTAGGTGCACAGTAGCCAAGCATCTGAATACTTTTAGAGTCATTGAAATCCTCGCCACTATTGAACCTCCTGCTTTAATGAAGAAATTTCTTTTTATAAATCTGAACTCCTAATCTTTCTGTGGATACCACATTGAGAAACACAGCGGAGGATAGATTTTGTCACAGAATTACCAGGAACAACCACAGAGGCACAAGAAACATGAGAAATCAAGAAAATGTCTCTAGGGGAAAAGAACAATCCGTCACCATCCACACGCAGTACAGTAGAACTCATGGAAATGTCTGATAGGGAATTCAAAATATTCATAGTGACAAAACCGGAGGCAGAAAACGTCTCCGGTGAAGCTGAGCGTTAACCTGTGCAAAATTCATGGTTCCCCTTTCCTGCATTTACAGCAGATAGTGGGGAGGAAAATGAGCGAACATTCCCTGACCGGGAATCGAACCCGGGCCGCGGCGGTGAGAGCGCCGAATCCTAACCACTAGACCACCAGGGACAGTGGCGACGAGATTCAGTGCTGGACCTACGAGTCATATTCTCCCTATTCACGTTCCAGACTCCTCCTTCCCCAGACTCCCTAGAGCCGGCTCGGACCGCCCTGTGCTCACACCAGCCCCACCTGCCGAAGCGAAAGGTCTGACCGACTTGGCTGCCGCGCCGAACGGGGGAGGCAGCCGGCGAGGAGCTAACCCTAACCCTGGATGCAATAAAGGACAGCGTTTAACTCAGTCGCGACGGCGCTTATTTGTAATTGCTTCTTGCTCTTTCCATCGTGAAACGGTGGGCTGCTCTAAGACAGAAACTGTATTTTGACTTTTCTCAAAGTACTTGGGGCATTTGCGTGTCTACGTATCGCGGCCAAAACGACAAGCGATAATCCTATTACATACGATTTTTCAACTCTATGGGCGGAGCCGAAATAGCTCAGTTGGGAGAGCGTTAGACTGAAGATCTAAAGGTCCCTGGTTCGATCCCGGGTTTCGGCAAGGCTAGTGTTTTACACCTGAGTGATCCGCCCTGATCCCCACGGTGTCTGTGCTCTCCGAGAGAAGCTATCCCCAACAGCGTGGACATATTCCCAATTCAGCAACGAAGAGTTGATGGTCCAAATCCAACTTTATAGTGATGGCACGGTTTGTACAATGAAAAGTAGAGGGGTCGACAGGGGCATAACCGTAAGGAGTGGACTCCCACCTGCTTACCCAGTTTGCATTCTCTCTCTCTCTCGTCTCTCTCGTGTCTCTGGTGAGCGCATGCGCCCTAGAGCAAATAATAATAATAATAATAATAAACAAAATTAAATAGATACTTCTTTTAAAAAGCAGAAGTAATATTTCATGGTGCAGATATGCGCGTGATACCGAACGTCCCGGGACGGTCACCGATTCCGCGGTTTAGGGGTGCGCACAGCGGCAGCGCGAGGGGCGAGGGCGCCCCAGCCCGATGTAGGGTCTAGTTTGCGTGGTTGAAGCTCGAGAGCGCACGGACGGCGGCTGTGTTCAAATAAACTTTATATATGAACCCCGAAATTTAGACTTCATTTAAATTTCACGTCACGAAATCGTCTCCATTTTATTTTTGCAATCTTTTAACATGTAGAAACTCGCTTGAGAGCGCCGAATCCTAACCACTAGACCACCAGGGACAGTGGCGACGAGATTCAGTGCTGGACCTACGAGTCATATTCTCCCTATTCACGTTCCAGACTCCTCCTTCCCCAGACTCCCTAGAGCCGGCTCGGACCGCCCTGTGCTCACACCAGCCCCACCTGCCGAAGCGAAAGGTCTGACCGACTTGGCTGCCGCGCCGAACGGGGGAGGCAGCCGGCGAGGAGCTAACCCTAACCCTGGATGCAATAAAGGACAGCGTTTAACTCAGTCGCGACGGCGCTTATTTGTAATTGCTTCTTGCTCTTTCCATCGTGAAACGGTGGGCTGCTCTAAGACAGAAACTGTATTTTGACTTTTCTCAAAGTACTTGGGGCATTTGCGTGTCTACGTATCGCGGCCAAAACGACAAGCGATAATCCTATTACATACGATTTTTCAACTCTATGGGCGGAGCCGAAATAGCTCAGTTGGGAGAGCGTTAGACTGAAGATCTAAAGGTCCCTGGTTCGATCCCGGGTTTCGGCAGGGAGGTTTTGTTTTTCACAATTCCTGATCCTTAAAAAGGATAAATATAAATAATCCTCCGCAGAACAGAACGAAGGAGACAAATTGTTTTCTCCTCAAACTCATAAAGATACAAAAGGACTGCAATACAATTGTTCCAGTAGGAGAAAGTAGTGGTGAGGGGTGAGCTTGACTTCAGCAAAGGAATTCGAAGCAAACATGCAGAAGAGAGTCCCTGGTCCCTCTTCCTGATATTTACTATCTCCGTCCTTGGTTTGATCTGTGCTCCACTTAGTCTGTGTCCCTTTTTCTCCAACCCACCCTCCTTCATTCCCATGGACTTATCCCAACAGTTGTAACCCAAAATCAAGAGGCTCCAAAGGACTCTTTTTCTCTTATTCTTTCTGTTTCATTAACTTCCTTTCCCCTCTACTTTGATTCTCTGCCAGCTTCTGATTACCGTGGCCTGGGCTCACGGAAGAGAGAAGTCTAATGTGATAAAATTA